AATAATAATTTATAAATTATCAAGGGTTCAGGAGGGAGGGGGAAAAATGAGTTGATACCAAGGGCTCAAGTAGAAAGAAAATGTTTTGAAAATGATGATGTCAGCAAATGCTTATATGTGCTTGACACAATGGATACATGGATTGTGATAAGAGCTGTACGAGACCCCGATAAAATAACTAATAATAATAATCCAAATTTAAAGGAGAGAATGGCATCAGAACTTAAATTGTGAACATCTGGTTTCTAGAAGGCTATGGATAATAGTAGAAACCCCAAATCTATTTAGAGGCCCACACGTGGATTTAACCACTAGTGAAGCCTTTCCAGTCATAGTTGAGGGATGTGAATAGTCCTGTTATCAGACACAGAACATTGTAAAGCTGATTTATGGCAGACGTAGTTAGGCCAAAATGTAATATCATCTGATCTCCCTCTTGACCCATTTTTAAAGCTGTTTACATTTTTAAAAAAGTGAAGGAGAAATACATGTGCACTAAGTCCCTGGTGAATCCTCTCTGACCATGGGCCAGATGGGAATAATCTGGCTGCCATACAGAATGTTTTGGATAGTGGATTGTTGTAGATGCAGTTAGGTTAAAGTGGAGCACTCTATCATTTGATCTTCCTTCGGATCCATTTACATTTGTTCTAACACTTGTTTTGCTGGAGATCATTCAGCAACAGTTGGGGCAGTACATCCACAGGGAGCTGCAGGTTCAGAAGTGGGGGCACCATGTCAGGCTCTCTAACCAAACACGCATCTGTCTGCTTCTGGCCCTCTTTGTTCAGCTTCTTCTCTGAGTTGATATTCAACCCACTTCTCTACTGCTTCCTCTGTAGCTCGGGCATCTAGAATTGTTTATCCATAAGTGTTTCACTTGGTCACTCATGTCTTTGTTGCAGGGGGCCTGTGTAGCATGATCGCCTAGTTCACCACTTCTCTAGAAGTGACTTCCCTATTCCTGCATACTTGGTTCCTGTATTTATATTTTTTCATTAAAAAAAGAACAACAAAAATAACATTGTCAATTTGCTAGATTCCTTAAGTAGAATTAATGGATAAGAAGACATGGGGGGAAAAAAGACATGAACATTTTTAGCCTCTTCTAAAAAATTAATAAATATTTTTTGTTGAGCACATATACACCAGAAAATATACCAATTCAATAATTTTTACATGCACAATTCAGGGACATTGATTATATTCTTCAGTTTGTTCACCCTATATTCTGAATTATTCCTAGCTGGATTCTCCCAAGGAGCAGAATGTGTGAGGTCTCTCTATCTATCTGAAGGAGTCCTGGTGGTCTAGTGGTTATACACTGGGTTGCTAATCACAAGGTCAGCAGATCAAAACTACCAGCAGCGCCTTCATAGAAAGATAAGGCTTTCTATGCCCATAAAGTTACAGTTGTGCCTTTCTGACAGTGAAGACCTCATGCGATCATGCATCTTGCAAAGAATCGGCTTCATCCTTCACCAGAAGAGAAGAAACACAAGGAACAGCATCTGGTGCAGAGCCCCGATTCCTACTTCATGGATGTCAAATGCCCAGGCTGCTATAAAATCATCACGGCCTTAAGCCATGCACAAACAGAAGTTCTGTGTGTTGGCTGCTCTACTGTCCACTGTCAGCCTCCAGGAGGAAAAGCAAGGCTTCCAGAAGGATGCTCCTTCAGACAGAAGCAGCACTAAGAGACCCTGAATCAAGATGAGTGAGAAACCTTTCCAATAAACCGATTTTGGATTTTAAAAAAAAAGAGTTACCCATAGTTTTGAGCATTAGCAAGGGCAGTTCTATGCTGTCCTACAAATTGGAATTGACTCAATGGTAGTCAGTTGTTGATGTTGTTTTTTTAATCTATCTGTCTATCCATCGATCGATTGAGTCAGCATTGACTCAATGGCAGCAAGAGTTTTTCTGTCTGTCCATCCATCCATCTATCCATCCATCTGTATACATTTGTGTACACACACACACCACATACATAAATAGAGAGATTGATGTCAAGGAAATGACACACAGTTGTGGAGATCGGCACGTCCCAAATCCATGGGTCAGTTGTCATGCCGGAGGCTTCTTCTGACTCATGTGACTAGAGGCTGATGAATCCAAAACTGGCAAGTCAGAAGACAGATTGCTGCTTCACATACCAAGAACTGGAGGGCAGAAGGGGGCAAGTCAGTTGCAGAATTGAGAGAAGAGAGAGCGCTTTGTTAGAACATCCAAATGTGTTGGATGCTGGCCGCATCCCCAAAGGAAACTTCCCTTACATCAGAATTACAAAATGGAGGGCAATTACATAATACTGAGTGTGGTGGAGGGAAATTTCTTGATATGACTCACCTAACCAAGTCTTTGTAACTCCTACTAAATGATTGGATGGGGCTATGCAAACAGGAGGTGTGTAACACTAGTAAAGGAGATTGGTAAAATGTCCATACCATGCCACTAGCTCTAAGGATGAGTCATCTTTGAAGCAATAGCAGAGAAAAGAGAGCCCCAAGGACCTTGAAAGAGCACCTTAAGATCTGTCTGAAATGGTGGAAGCTGCTGAGACTAGATGTATCACTGTGGTATGGAGACTCAGAGGGGGAGCACTGAGACCGTGGGGTACCTTCTCATTATCTGGGCTGAGCCTATGGAACTGGGGGCAGGGAGATAGGAAGGCTGGCTCCTGGCCCATGCAGGCAAGGGTAGCTGAGAGACCAAGAACCAGAGACAGATGTGGCTACCACATGGCTGAGAGGCTGAGAACTGGACAGACACTTGGCTGCTGGCTGAGCCCAATGATGATCCTTAATGATTGCTGACCCTGACAGTGGTAACCTAGTCACTTCCCTAAGAAACCAAACTGGATTCGACACCAACTCATAGTGAACCCCTGTGGGTTTCGGAGACTGTAACTATTTGCGGGAGTAGAAAGTCCCATCTTTCTCCCAAGAAGTCGCTGGTGGTTTCAAACTGCCAGCCATGTGGATTGAAGCCTAACACATAACCATTATGCCACCAGGGCTCCCCAACTTCCCTAAGACACACACCCCCCTGCTTAATTGTAAGTGTTGTCTGGAGCCCTGTGTGGCCACTGCGATGAATGATCGGACTCAGTATAGAAGAACAGTGGCATGGGAGGAATGATAGATGTCAGAGTAGGTCAAGGAGGCTTGCCTAACCCTTGTCTTGTGGCAATGGGGAAGCCAGAGGTGAGATAGGACCCTCCATCGCCATTTATTGCACTGAGAACCATGGCCTAGCCACGCCGCTGACACATTAACCATCACACTTCCCTATTAACAAAGGCCCTCTCTCACTACCCCTTAAGTCTGCTACTTGATCTTTTGAGTGACTGTTGTCAGTCGATGACATAGAAGGGGTTTTAAAAAGAGGAAGATGCTCATGGCAGACATTCTTTCCTAGTTAAGCTAAATGCCTGCTTGATTTTTAATGAATAAATATATATTATAATATAATGACTATATATGTATATATGATAATATATTAAATCATTTTTGTATTCAACAACTTAAACAATGTATCAAACCTCCCAATATTTTGCTACCCACCCCCTTTTCCCCCTCTTATCCCTCTTGTGCAGGAACCCTGGTGATACAAGCACGAGCAATGTTATCGATGGTTTGTTATGATCCAGAATGTTATCCAGAGCTCATTATGATCCACAGTTAAATGCCTTTGCATTTAAAAAACACATGCATCTTTCTGATGTTCTCTGCTTTCAGTCAAAATCCATCTGACACCAACAATGATATCTCTTGCTCCGTGTCCTCTTCTGAATCTGGCTTGAATGTCTGGCAGCTCCCGATCAAAATACTGCCGTGATCATTTTTTGCTTACTGTCTAGAGACTTTTACCTGCATATGATATTGATGATACCGCTCAATAATGTCTGCATTCTGTTTGCTCACCTGCCTTTAGAATGGGCACAAGGAGGGATCTCGTCCAGTGGGTTTGCCAGTGGTAGCTGTCTTCCAAATTTCGTGGTGGAGATTAATGGGTGCGCCCAGTGCTTCATCAGCTTGTTGAACCATTGCCATTGGCATTTGGTTTATGATTTCGGTGCAGCTTGAACTTCTTCATTCAACACCATTGGCCCTTGACGTTCTATTACCTTTTGAAATCACTGAAAGCTGACCGATCATTTTTTGTGTGGTGACTCTGTGTATTCCGTCTATCTTCTTTTGATGCTTCCTGCATTTTCAGTATTTTGCCTATATAACTCACATGTCATCCAATTCGATAGTTCAATCACATCCAGAAGACTTGTACAATCACTTTCAAGACATTTTCTTTCTTTTTTTTTCAGGACATTTTCTTCATTAATATTTTTCTTCTTCCCAACAGCTTTGTGTACTCATCAGAATTAGCTCCCCAGCCCCCACCCCCCC